GGCACGGGTGGCAGCGCGCGGTCGCTGCGGTCCCTGCCACCCCAAGCGTTCCAAGGTTCCGCCGCTCTGTGACGTCACCTGGGCCCGCTGGCACCAGAGGTGACAGCTCCGCTCTGGCTCTGCCACCTGCGCTGGCACCGATGGCTTTGCTGGGGCTGCTCGTCCTGCTGGCCCTGGCCGGGCCCCTGGGGGCCACCTGGGACACCTGCAGGTCAGTGGCCCCGGGGGCTCGGGGACACTCGGGGGCTTCCCTGGCACAGCCTGGGCACAGAGGAGCCCCTCGGGGTCCCTGTCCCTGCTGTCCCCGAGCAGGGCACTGATGGCTTTGTGCTTCCAGAGGCACCTGCGGGCTCCGGCCCATGGCCTTCGACCACAGCTCCGTGGTTGCTGAATATTCCCAGAATAATGACTACGAATCCTTGGAATCTTCCGATGGCTCCTCCCAGGACACGGGTGGCTCTGAGGTCCACCCGGGGGCCTGGCCTGGTGTCATCAGCGTCCAGGCCACCTGGGAGAACGGCACGTGGCACATGTGCTCGGGGGCACTGATCCACCCCCAGTGGGTGCTCACGGTGGCACACTGCTTCGCCAGGGCCGGGTAAGGACGAGCAGGGACAGGGGTGTCCCCTCAGCAGGGTCGGGGGTGTCCCCAAAGGAGGGGCAGAGGTGTCCCCAGAATAGGGTCAGGGATGTCCCCAGAATAGGGTCAGGGATGTCCCCACAGCAGGGTCAGGGGTGACCCCACAGGAGGGGCAGAGGTGTCCCCAGAATAGGGTCAGGGATGTCCCCACAGGAGGATCAGGGGTGTCCCCTCAGCGCAGGCAGGTGCCCAGGGCAGGAAGGGAATTTGGCTGCTGCAATCCCCGGCTCTGCTCCGTGTCACCCCTCTGTCCATCTCCTGCCCCCCAGGGACATTTCCCGGTGGGAAGTGGTGATCGGGGCCACGGATCTGAGCCAGCCGGGCCCCGAGGCCCAGCTGCGCCACATCCGGAGGCTGCTGGTGCACCAGTACTACGACGAGCCCACGGCATGGAACAACATCGCGCTGGTGGAGCTGGACCAGCCCGTGGAGTGCAGCGACTACATCCAGCTGGGCTGCGTGCCCGACAGCTCCCTGGCAGTGACCAAGCTGAAAACCTGCTACATCGCGGGCTGGAGAGCCACCCCGGACAGCGGTCAGTGCCCGCCCGGGCTCTGGGGGCAGGGACACGGCGGGCCGGGGGCTCCGCGGGGGCTCGGCCGGGCCCGGGCCTGGGCTCGGCCCCGCGGGGTCTGCCCGGGGCCACGCTCAGTGTGGTGGGACTGGCCAGCTGGGGCAAGGGCTGTGCCGGGGCCAAGCGGCCCGGGGTGTTCACCGCCACCCAGCACTTCCACACCTGGATCCAGGTGCAGATGGGACTGCTCCCACCAGAAGCCGACGCTCCTCCACCCGAGCCCTTCCCGAGCCCGGAGGAAGAGCCCGAGGCAGACTTGGAGGATGAGGAGAATCCCAACCCGGAGGACTCGGAGGATTACACGAAGATTTCCTTCCAACAACAGATCCTGGGGAAATTCCTGAACCTGCTGCTGGAGCTCCTGCAGTTCCTGAAGGGAGAGAAAGCCTGAGCAGCGGGATGAGCTGATCCAGTTCTGGCAAGCATTCCCAGCCGGGGCCGTGGCTGCGGGGCCAGCTCAGCCCCGGTGCCCAGGGCTGCTGTGCCCTGCCCACGCTGACCCCGCGCCCGCCCCGAGGGGGAACCCACTTTGTGCTTCAATTAGAGTTGTTCCAGTTCCCACTTAGCCACCGTGTCCAGTGCAGTCTCCGGGGGAAAACAGGGATGGGGTAACTGGGGGGAAAAGGGTGGGGGTGCGCCTGGTGTGGGGGAGATGAGGGGGAGCCGGGGAGGGGAGGATGGGCCTGAGGTGGGGAGAGGGAGAAACTTCTCCAGCCCAGGCTCCCCAGCAGAGCCTCGGCTGTGCCAGTCCCGGGAAAAGCCCTTGAGAGGGACAGCAACGGGGACAGCTGGAGCTGCCATGCCGGGCTCCTGTGGGGCTGCTGGAAGTGCCACCCTGAGCTGCTGCTGCTGCCACCCCGGGTGTCCCCTCTGTCACCAGCTCGTGTCTCTGAGGCTGTGGGACCCATCCCACTGTTCCTGCTGTAGAAGCAAGGTCCAGGCTCTGCTCCTGGGATCCCAGAAGTGACACCAGAGGAGCGGGCAGGGACAAATCCCAGAAATTCCCCTGCACAGGAGGCAGAGCTGCCCTGGGCAGCGCCCAGCCCTGAACGGAGACCGCAGCGCGGTGCAGCCTCCTCTCTGGGGACATTCCCGAGCTGCCCAGAGGCCACCCCTGCTCTGCCATGTCCCTCCCTGGCACGCCCATTCCCGGCCGTGCCACCCTGTGCCCGGCCCCGCCGCTCGGAACTACAACTCCCAGCACGCCCCGCGGCCGCGCGGCCGCCATGCGCATCACGTGAGCAGCTCGGGCACTGCCGGCACCGCCCGGAGAGCGCTCGGGGATATCCCGGGACAGCCCCGGGACACCGGGGGGACACCAGGGCAGCGCCATGGGGCCGCGGGGCCGCCACCTCTCCTGGCTGCCGGTCGTAGCGCTGCTGGTGCTGCCGCCGCCCGTGCGCGCCGCCGCCGCCCGGCCCAACTTCGTGCTGGTGCTGGCGGACGATCTGGGCTTCGGGGACCTGGGCAGCTACGGGCACCCCTCGTCCGCCACGCCGCACCTGGACCGGCTGGCGGCCCGCGGGCTGCGCTTCACCGACTTCTACAGCAGCGCCGCCGTCTGCAGCCCGTCCCGGTACGGCCCCGCGGCGGGGAGGGAGCGGGGTGTCCCGGGATAAACGGGGGGTGGAGCTGGGTGTCCCGGGATAAACGGGGGGTGGAGCTGGGGTGTCCCGGGATAAATGGGGGCATGGAGCTGGGGTGTCCCGGGATAAACGGGCGGGATGCGGCTGGGTGTCCCGGGATAAACGGGGGGGTGGAGCTGGGGTGTCCCGGGATAAACCGGCAGTGATGAACCTGCGGTGTCCCGAGAGGGATGGGGGGACAAACCCCCCGTGTCCCGGGATAAACGGGCAGTGATGACCCCGCGGTGTCTCAGGGACAGACAGAGGGACAAACCCGCGGTGTCCCGGGATAGATGGAGGGACAAACCCGCGGTGTCCCGCTCTGTCCCGTGTCGCGCTGCCCGTGCCGTGTCCCGCGCAGGGCCGCGCTGCTGACGGGCCGGCTGCCGGTGCGCTCCGGGATCTTCCCGGGCGTGTTCGAGCCCGGCTCCCGGGGCGGGCTGCCGCTGGCCGAGCTCACCGTGGCCGAGCTGCTGAAGGAGCGCGGCTACGCCACGGCCATGGTGGGCAAGTGGCACCTGGGCTACGGCGAGAACGGCTCCTTCCTGCCCGGCCGCCAGGGCTTCGACCACTTCCTGGGAATTCCCTACTCGCACGACCAGGTGAGCGCCGGGCCGGGGCAGCGCGGGCCGGCGGCTCGGGGGTGGGCACAGCCCGGGATGCTGCGGGGGTCCTGCACGCCGGGCGCAACAGCGGCCGCGAACTCGATCTTCTTCTTTAGTTTTTTACAATTTTAGTTTAATTGTAATTTTTAAAAAATTTTAATTTAATTGTAATTTTAATTTTTTTTTTAATTTTAGTTTAATTTTTATTTAAGTTTAGTTTTTTTAATATTAATTTAATTTTAATTTAATTTTCATTTAATTTTTAA